CACCTCATGCTCAAAATTTATTCTAGTTTTCGTTCAATGAATAAGGCTCTAATGTTCTCACATTTTAACCAACAACTCAGGCGGGACGACAGATCGGTAGAGAAGAGCCATCCAATTTACTATCCTTGGGTTCTTTTTTATTGTTCATTAGTTTGGTCTTTTTTCATAAAGAAAGAAAAGATGAAAGTGGTCAGATCAAATGCTAACAACTACGTAGTACGCATTACAAATTTTAAGGAAATCTAAAATTTGACCAACCATGACTGGCACTTCAACAAATCGGTCTAGTGAGAGTGAGAAGTCTGAATTAGTTGCTGTACTCGGCCTGTTTCAAAAATAAATAGCTTTTCCCGGGGAACAATCAGTGGCAATTGCTCATATAAAATTTTACGAAATATATACTTATTTTATTTACTAGTTAGAATTTCATCTTCTACCAGTAGCCTTTCTCTTCTAGGAGTTCCTTATATCTAATGGAATTGTCAGCTATTTGCTACGAGTTCTAAACGAGGAACGAGCGATGAGCAAGCAAAATCAAACGATTGTCGTGGAGGAGATTCATGCTAGTTAACTACTCTTTTTATCAAGTTAACGCCTTTAATTTACAATTGCTTATTCAGGAATGTATATTGTCGATTTTGTGCACATTATGTGTTGGAAATAGCATGAGTGAAGAAGTCCGGATAGAAGTGTTCCGACAGCCACAATTATTCTTAGAAAAGTTGATTCATATGAGGCCAGTCTTATTAAAGCAGACATTGCAGGTAATGGGAATTTTTTTCAAAACTTTTACTTAATAGAATTGTGTGAAAATATAAACGCAAATTTCCAGCTTCTTTCGAAGGTGGCCTTGAGAGACGAGAATTTGGAAGGCTTTAGGAATTGCTCTATAGATGGGATATGCTTCATTCAACAAATAGTCTATATTTTACGAGTTGCCTGTAATCAACCACCAGAGGTAAGATTTTATTGGTTCAGATAAGTATATTGTTATACTCTAAATATTTTTTGATTCCAATTTTTTACCTAACATTGATTACATTATCGATTATTGCCCTTGACATCTATCTTGAATTTTGCCTTGTATTACAGCCATTTAGCTGCGCTCCTTACTCTTAATCTCTCTCTTACAGACACAAATGGTAGAAGGGATCAAAGTTAATGAATTAATCAATATTTCAATGAGCGTATTACATTGTTTATGCCGTGACAGGGAACTGCTGGAAATGGTGCGATTATATATTTTTTTGAAAACAACTTGCAATTACTTAGAGCTTCCCATAACAAACGTTCAGGTGGTGTATTACCTTCTCTATCCTGAAAACATGAAAGTTAGAGATTGTGATGTGCTGCTTCCTGTCTATGCTCTTCACGATATTCACGAAGAATCAGTGAGAAAAACAGCGATCTCATTAATCGATGCTACTGTGCATCATCCAAAGGTAGAATAATTCAACATGCCTAACCTAAATTCTGATCTTTATTGGGATTTGCAGATGGCCATGTTCTTCAGTCAAAACCATAATTTGATCAGTGGTCTGCAACATTTCGCTAGGAGCTGTAACCCTGTCTTGGGTGAGAGGACCTTCACAGAACACTACTGTGTTGCAAAGTTTTCTAATTTTAGCGCATCTCGCTAAGGAATCTTTAAAATCCATAATGCTCGGAGGAACAATGTCACGAAATCAGTTTCCGCCTTCCTATATGAGAACTAAGGAAAAGCCTCTAGTAATTCTTTCTTATCAAAGGATTGCCAGCAAATTTTTCGCTACTTATATGATCACGTTTTAGCCCCCGCTAGAAGTATCAACTTCTTCCACAGCTGCTCCATCGACTATATCAAGCCCGACAGCACGAAATATGCGAATGGCTAGTGAGTCAGCGTTGTGGCAAGGGCCAATGGAAGGGGCCGGGGAGCAATTACCAGAGGTAAAATTGTGCATTTTTTGTTTTAAATGTTTCCTAAATATGAACAAGTAAAGAACCCATTTTGAAGAGATTAAATATGTCTTTGCGATTTTCTTCTTGCCAACAAGTTATGCTATTACTCATTTTCTGCAAAGTTAACACTTGTTTCACCTTCACCAACGAAATTCTCACCTCAGGACTTCGCGGTAGCCGATGATCCATTTGTAAATGTTTTTTGTCCGACAGCCGCGCCCCAGAGTTCTCCTCCATTCTCACGTGAGTTTTCTTATCCGTGCTATCTGCTTAGTTTCACTTTCTGCTTTTTCACTCATCTCTTCTAGCGCCTGTTAATCACTCTATGAATGACAACGCATTAGGAGTATGCGGAGATGAAGCTATGCAGATCAGCAGTCCACAGAGCACGTGGGATTCGCCTCACTCACTTCAATATATGGAACATCTTGGATGTATTGCTCCACAAATGGGACTGTCCCATCCGAGTCAACATATGTCTGAGACAGATTTACCTTCCCATATGACTGCCTACCCACATCATCAAACACAGCCAATGCCATATGTAAGTCAATCATGGCACGCTCAAATGCCTCATCTACATGCGGATGTAGGAATTTATTCTATGCACAATTATTATCAAAACCAATCCTATCCATCAAATCCAGATTATCAACAACGATATGATCAGTACCACCACCAGTATGGTCGATTCCATTAACTATGCATTTTGGTGTCAAAATTTGGGGATTACTCTTTCAGAAACTAAGCGATTCGTTAGTAGAAGAGAAAATTGTCGCAATTAGGTAGACAAATATTCGCTTGCCATTCCCTAGATTAGACATGAATAATGCAAAACACTTCCATTTATGGAGTACTTTCGCTATGTTACTTTTGATCAACTCAAAAAGAATTTTAGCTATAAGTATTTATTAAGTATTCTATTGCCTTAATCGGTACGTTAAACTGCCGAGCGCAAAGTCCAGCGATTCCTGTGGTCATATATACCAGATGATTCTCATTATTATATTTTGCGTCATTATATAACCAGTCACACATTCTAGTTATTGGAAATGGGTATTTTTTTGTTCAGCCATTGTCACTATCATCACTGTTTCTCGTTATCATTCGATAACTTTCGTCCTATAATGACAGAATTGCTCAGTACTTGTAGTTTTGTTTTGCTCAGAATATACCGTCAATTGTAACGAGGTAGAATGAGTAAATGTATATATTCGCTGATAAATATGAGAAGAAATATGTCGAGAAATATGCAAACACCCGCGTTTGATCACAAAACTATACAAAAGGGAATCGAAAGGTGAGGTCATACGAATTCACGTGGACTAGACCTCAACCAAAATGGCATGAGAAAAGAATAACGCTGAAATGAATATTGCTAATAAATTCCTAGAATGTGGACACAATTCTGCAAAGGAGAATTATTCTCTTGTTTTGTGGGGGAGACATCAGTGATAGAGCCGTAGTAATCGTCAGATATTCCCGATGAACTGCCAGTGAAAGAGGAGGAACGAGGTTCTTCTGAAAATATCAATGTTTGAGAGAATGACATTGAATTTGATTAGGATTGACCATGAAAGGATCCACAACTCGTGGCTCCAGGCCACACGATATAGTATGTTTTCAAACATCTGATTCTGATTCTTCCTCGTCTCATTTTCTTTACTCTCCAACTCTTATCCATTTCTG